TGCTTTTATACACAGACTGGTCCTTGTGCTGAAAAATATAGCTAGGCTTCCACTGAGACCAACGACCCTCTTCATAATTAGCATGGAAAAGCATAACACAGCAGCCCTAGATTCCACATCAAGCTTTTCCTAAATTCCATGGCTATTAGGTCAGGCTATTACTATGCATTACCCTTCATTCTCTTCCCTTCTCCATGGACTCATAACCACTGGTTTTGCATTAACTTAAGCTAGCGAGGGAATGACGATGCCCAGATGAGTTGTTTATGCAGCTTTGTGGTATATTACTGTCCTGAGAAACAGCCTGTGAAAGCTGTTTACAAACTTCTCACCTCTTCTGGAGAGTGCAGGGAAGGAAGCTTTGCACTCAGCTGCAGGAAGTGTGATCTTGGAAGCTGAGGAGTTGACTTGATGAAGTTGTAACAAACTAATTTTGCTTTGCTCATGCAGGAGAAAGGAAGTTCTTAGCAGGACCACATAGAGAGTATTTGTAGAGGTCAAGACCTTAGGATCTAGGCAACAGAATTAGGCCTTTGAGTAGCATGACAGAAGTATTATTTGCCAACCATTTCTACATGTGGTGTTCTCCAGGCAGCAATTCACACACGTCTCTTTTTAGCTCATCCTGTTCCACAGCTGTAAGCTCCTCTCAAGATCTAACATCATGACCTTTTGCTATTTAGTTCCAGGAAAGTGAGGGGAGTGTGATCCATTGAAAGTTGGAGAACAAGAAGCAATTACAGACAGGTCCCAGCTGGCCAGGAAGATTGACAGAATGATTGTAGTAAATAGTGAAGTGTATGTCAAAATGCTGAATTCCATGATATGAGAAAATACCAGATTTATGACAAAGTCAGTTACCATGGCAGGTCCCCATTTCTGGGGCAAGTTAACTAAGGAGGACTACCTTGCACTCCAACTTGTCAACTGCTGCAGTCAACTAATTACATGTTTTCAGGTTTGAGAAATCCTTCTACATAGAAGTTATATCTATACACGTGCACTTTACTGTGGAGTTGACTAGTTAGCTCCAAAGTAAAGCTTCACCATCTACATCTGCACCCATGTTAGGGTGCAGTAAACTCATTAACTCTGCAGTAGGATAGTACTGTCAAGGTCAAGTAGTATCCTATGGTGGAGTAATTTATGAACATGTAGATGCTGACCAGGACTGGCTGGGGCATGAGGGTGCCCCAGTAGTCCCTCTGCTGCTGGAGCCCGGGGCTGACCCCCAGGCCCCGTGCCAGCTTGGGGCTGCTTCGCCCCAGCTCAAAGTGCTGTGGTCCTGCGTGTATATGCAGACGGTGTACTCAGGAGCAGCTGACTCTGGCACAAACTGCACTGGAGTTTATTGCTCCTCACTAACTGCATGTGTAGATGCACCCAGAGATCTCTTATTTCATAGTTTACATCTATCAAAATTAGCTTACAGCTGCTATTGCTTTTCTTTTTATCTGTTACTGGATTTCCCAAGTAAATCTGAAGGAAATTTTGTGTTGTGGCATGGAGACCATCTTGCCCATAACCTCCAATACTTGCCAGCCAGAAAAGAACCTTTCTGCCAACTAAAATGCTCATATTTGGCTTCTTTGACTTCATGAATAAAATTGCTCTAAGAGATTTTTTTTTCCATTAGAATGGTAGTGACAATCCTGCTTGGAAATAGTTTGGAAATGCTTTAAAAACCAAAAGAAAAAGACATGGGTAGTGTGCAGCCTGCAATTGATTTTGGCTTTAGAAAGACTGCTAACTAATGGCTTGTGGGACTGAATGAAGAACCAGCTCTGTTTCAGATAAAGATTTCTCTCTTTAAAAAAAAATAGAATGAATTCTGAAACATATTTTATTTTCACTTCTGAGTTCATAAGCTGTTGAACTGAGCCAGTAGCAGGGGAGAGGAGATGAATACAAGTTGTGAGTTTACCCAAGTGGCTTTGAAGGTAATCTCTCCAGTGTGAATTTAGTTTTGTATTCTAGAATTGCTTACCTTCAGCACAGTCATCTGAGGTTGAATAAAAAGTGGGGAAGACACAAGGCTGCTGCCTAGATTTATTAGACCTGAGATTTAGTGTAAGAGCAGTGTATCCTCTCACCTTCCTTTTTTTACCAGCAAACTGTGCTCTCTCCCTTTTCTTAATTGTCCTAAATTTTCCTGTTAATATTTTTCCCACTGAGTTCCGTAACCTACGTCTTCTATGTATCATATAGTACTTGTATTTTCTGGGGTCTTGAGTCATTCTCTCCTTCCTAAAGTCATTAAGCCTAAGCTTTTCTCCTTTGAGACATTGTGGCAATGTGTGTTTGTTTGCTTTCTTCCCAAAGACTGTGAAAAGTGAACTTGTGAGGACCTGACAGGGTGCAGGAATTGCCAGACCAGATTAATGCATTGATTCATCTAGTCCACTGCGCTGTCACTGTAAGGCCAGTAACAGATGCTTCAGAGTAAATGGAATAAGCTGTAGTAGATAACAGGACATCAGTCTGCCAATGGGTGTTCCCAAGGCTTGTCAATTACTGGCTGATTTATGCCTTGAGATATGATAATTATATTCCATAACTCTGCTTGTGGTGGTTGATGTTATCTGTCGTGGTGTTCACTCTTTAAATTCCTCCAGTTTTTGCAATATGCGTGTTTTTTTTAAATTAAGCCAGCTATTGAAACCTATGATTAAATGAGAGTCTTAAGTTTAAAAATCTTTAATAGGGGTTTTGCTCTTTTTGCTTTGGATTAAGTCTTTAAAAATTTAACCATACAGACTCAGACACTAAAGGTGCCTGTACACTTGTGAGGAGGCTGCTCTGATGTACTGTGATTACAGTGCATTGGAGAAGACTCAATCAAGTCTGCTGGAGCATGCTAATTACCATGCCCCCAGCAGCCTCTGCATCTCGAGTATCAGTTAAAGCGCCCCTGCCCCATTTTGAAGCGCAGGGATGCTAATACACAAGATGCTGTGGGTGCTTTAATTAAAGTGTCTCTCAGAGCTGCTCTAATTAAAGAACCCCCCCCCCCCCAAGCATATGTAAAAATGCCCTAAGAGGCATAAAAAGAAGTGTGTGTGTGAGTAATGATTCTTCTTTAGCCATATCTCAGGATTTTGTGGCCTGGACTTAATGACCTTTGAACCCTTGAAGTTGGGAATAAATCCTGTAAATACAGAATTTCTTTCTTTTTCCTTGTTACCCTCTCATCCTAGATGAGGATGCAAGGTTTGTTGCAGAGAGAAGAACATGGCATTTATTGTGAGGACAATTGAAAAAAAATTCTGTGGCTTACTGGGAGTCAGATCCTTTGTTAAGCCTAAGACTGTTACCACCTGCATTTATTCTCATTGGTCATTATAATGCAGCAGTAGGTATGCAGATTTGTTCTTCTCCTGCAAGTGACTTTGACAGGAGAAATTATGCCTAATTGATTACTATGGTAGCTAAATTACTGTACATTGCTGTTGTGAGGAAACAATTCTGTCTTCATCAAAGTGAGCAGCTGATTTGCTGATACAGGGTTGGGTGTGCCCAGTGCATTTTACCATATTTACTTGCATGCCATATGCATCCATTTCCTAAAAATAAGCATTCCCAAATTGGGATGCATGTTTTAAGTGGGGAAACTGATCTTCTGTGCCAGAATAGATAGAAGCATGAAAATGCTATTTTGCAGAATGGCTGCTACCTTCCCTCTTAATAAGCAAGCCTGAGGACCAGAGTCTAGCATTAACCCTTTCATTGCTGCTCTCAGGTTGCTGGCAGAGAGGGTTTCTCTGGTAATGGTAAGTGATTTTCTTTATATGTTAGTTCTCTAGTGAATCTCTAGTGCTGCATTGTGGCAGCTGAGCTGTGACTTTCATAAAATGAAAGCAGGTACAGATGTTGGTGAAATTCTTCCTCTGAGTGATTCTGTGGATGGTTTTTTAGTATATCACTTGCTATACAATTTTTATTTATCTCACAAGTGGGTCTTCAGGTCATCAGACACTTTGTTGTGAAGCTACTTCGCTTCTGTCACAAGAATTCCTCTCAGCATTAAGTAATTTGACATCCTGAATTATTGGTTTCAGGGTATAGGGCTGAACTGTCTTAAAATGAATTAATTACAAATCTCTAATGAGGAAAAAATAATATTAAATAAGTATTCCATTAATTAAAAAGTGAATTATTGGACCAACTGTTTACGAAGCGCTTTCCTGAATGTAAATTGGTAAGAAATCTGTTGACTAGTGATTAGATAACTGTACTTCATTTGGGATCAATTTCATAAGTTTATGTCAAATGTAGTTTAGGTAAATATTCCATCACAGCTTGAAAAATTGCAAGTGGCATCTTTCTCTGGCATCTTTCTTTACCTTCAGTCTGAGTAACAACTAGTCTGTCATTTTGACCCCCACTCCCTCAAACCCTAATTTATTATTCTGCAAAGTAAACCCTGCCATACATGAATAGAAAATAGTACTTGCCCATGTCTGCAGGGAGTGCAAATGTTGCCACTGCTTTTAAAGGTAGAAAGAAGTAAGAGGCTGCCATTACTAAAAATGACTACTGAGAGAAGTCCTCCAGTGGAGGACTCTGCATTAGAAGGGATTGAAGAGAGAATATGTATGATTAATAGATTCTGTTGGGGAAATAACCAGCGTTAATGGGTTTTTTTTGTGGGGTATAGGGGTATGCAAGGTGATTGGAGGTAATTCATTAGGAACAGTTTTGCTAATTTTTATGGTGGGTAGCTACATTATTGACTTAGGATACATGCATTTGGGCTGCTCTTAACTAGAGGCATGGATTTTAGTCAGCAGGAAACTAGCATCTCAATCCGGCAGGTTGAATCCAACTGGCAGGAGCTGGGATGGAAGTGGGATTTGAGGATATGGCTGTTTCAACCTTGTGAACAGATTTTTGTCTTTGGGTGGATAGTTGGGTAAATTTTCCAGTCCTGTATTACATGACTTATTCATAAAGTGCTTTGATCTTGTCTGATCCTAATATTTTTTGTGTCTCCTTTTCAGTCCAAGGCATGGACAGCTGTTCTAAATATGCTCATTCTAGATGGTGAATCAATCTATAGTCTGATTTCTCATCCCATCTTGCTGGTCTTAGCCAGAGTAATCCTTGTGAATTTACGACAGAAACTTGCAGCCATTCAGGTAAGGAATAAATATTTGGAAATGGTGATTAAAGCTATCAGTTGCTTCCTACTTCTCTATCTCATTCAGTCTGGGGTTTTTTGGGGGTTCATCTTCTTTTGCTTTCATCTTGCTTTCAGATGTCTTCCTCCACAGCAATGTTTACACACAACAAAGCCACAGACTGCAACAGTGAGGGAATTAAAATAAAGTGCCGCCTTTTCTTAAAGATAACTTGGAATATGTAATAAGAAATACTGAGGGGAATTTCTTTTGGGGCTTTCTGTCCTCTGAGAGATGAAGACACTTTTATAATAGAACAATGACTTCAGAGACTGTTTACAATTTGCTGTTTTTTTAAAATAAAGAATTAGGATGACATTTTGAGGATAGGTTTAAACAGACTATATTATGCTTCTGCTACTGCATACAGTAACCTTTCTGTTGTATAAACATTGATGTTGACAATATTAGAAGTTGCCAATATTCTCTTGCCCTGGATATATGCTGCTTTTCTTTTAGACAGGATGGGTTTACATGTCTTTTCCCATATGTGGAAAAAGGGCCAAGAAATTCCTCTTAAGTGATTTTTTGACTGTTTCCTAGCTCCTCCTTTGGCACATGGAGAGTTTTGCAATTATGTGGGGAACACTGCTATTCTCTGTTTAGCTTTCACATGAAAGGCCAGAGAGCTTTATCCTCTTCTTTTAAAAGGAGTTTTTTGACTGTTTACTTCCTTTGTTTTAGCTTAGCAGCAGTCTGGCTGGCAGAGAGAAGCTGTGGGAGTGGGCAGGCTTTTAGAAGCAGTGCCTTTGCTCCAGTGCTTTGCAGTTGATCAGGGCTTGGCTGGAGATCAAAAGGCCACATTGTCTGTCTTTGTGCTTAGCTGGCAACCACTGTACCCAGCTGTGCCTTTATATAGGGTCTGAATTAAATGGTGTGGGACACAGTCTGGCTAGTCTGCACTTCTGGAAGCCAGACGCTCCCTTCATTCTGTCTCTCACTCCAAATGAATGCTGTTTGGCTCCAGGTACCAAATCAGTCAGGGGGACAGAAAATAATATTGCTGTGAAGACAGCCTTTCCTACACTTACTTAGACTGGCCCATTGAGTGGCCACCTCTTCCCCAAAGTTTATTTAACTCATGCTTAGAAAATGTGGTTGAACCTAGTTTTAAATACTAGTTCAGGAGCAATAGTGGTGGAAAATCATTTGCAGCTATGGATCAGCTTACCAAAAAAAAAAAGCCAGCTATTCTTTCTCATGTAAGTTTAAGTTGACGAGAAATCTCTGAATATCTTAGATCAGGGGTGTCAGAGATCTGGCCCATGGTGCTAGCTCCACGTGAGGTCAGTCTGGAACCCCCTCCTCTCCCTTCTCCTCCCCGCACATGCCTGATCTAATGCCCCCGGTGTCAGCTCTGGCTGGTCTGGGACATGAGCCGCATCTGCTCTACCCAGTTTGGGGCAGGTCATAGAATCATAGAAAGTTAGGGTTGGAAGGGACCTCAAGAGGTCATCTAGTCCAAACCCCTGCTTAAAGCAGGACCATCCCCAACTAGATCATCCCAGCCAAAGCTTTGTCCAACCAGGTTTTGAAAACCCTTAAGGATGGAGCTTCCACCACCTCTCTGGGTAACCTGTTCAAGTGTTTTACTACTCTTCTGGTGAGAAAATTCTTCCTATCTAACCTAAACTTCCCTTGCTGCAACGTGAGACCGTTGCTCCTTGTTTTGTCATCTGCCATCACTGAAAATAGCTTAGCTGGATCCTCTTTCGAACCCCACTTCACATACTTGAAGACTGCTATTAAGTCTCCTCTCAGTCTCCTCTTCTCTAGACTAAATAAGTCCAGTTCCCTGAGTCTTTCCTCACAAGTCACATCTCCCAGCCCCTTCACTATTTTTGTCGCCCTCCTCTGGGCTCTCTCCAATTTGTCCACAAACCCAGAACTGAACACAGTACTCCAGATGTGGCCTCACCAGGGCTGAATAGAGGGGAATAATAACTTCCCTTGACCTGCTGGCAAAACACCTACCAATGCAGCCAAGGATGCTGTTAACCTTCTTGGCAACTAGGGCACACTGCAGGCTCATATTCAGCTTATTGTCTGCTGTAAACCCCCAGGTGCTGTGTGTCCTGGGGGGTCCCTTTGTGTGCTGTGTGTCTTGGGGGGGGGGTGGTCTCTGAACATGCAGTGCAGTTCTGGACCAGCCATATCAGATGCTGGATCTGGCATGTGGGGGTCCATTGGTCTCATGCTGGATCCCATAATTAATCTGGCTGGTGTGGGACTGTGCCACATGATGTCTGCTCCAGCTAGTGTGGGTCCCATGCTGTATGCAGCACCTGCTCCCACACTGGCAAGAGCAGGGGTTGCTTGCTACTGATGTTCTGATCTAGCCAGAGTGGGTGCCATATGCAGCACAATCCTAGACCAACTGGAGCAAGCTCCACAGACACTGGATCTGGCATGCAGCGGTAGGAAGGGGGGCCAGTGCAGGATTGCCTATGAACTATTAATTGGCCACTCTGTGGGTCAGATGAGTTTGACACCCCTGCCTTAGGTCTTTAGGATTAGTGCATTTGCAGTTAGCACAAGATAACATTCTGAGAAATACAGCTTCTAAAACATTAACACAGTGTTTTTCACAGACACCATTGTGTGAGTGGCTAAATTATTTAAAAAAAAATTAAAAATGATCAAAGAAAATTCTGAAGACATCCAGCAATCCTCCAAGCTTGCTAAAACAAAGACTCTACCCAATTCAACCAGGTTAACTGAAATATTATAAATGTGATCCCTCACATTGAAGATTTCTGTGGCAAGAGAAAATTTTATCACTTGAGTTTGTAAACCCCATATACAATCTCAGTTACACAGCTTTGAATTAGTTCAGAAATGAATATCAACTTAGTTTTCTTTAAAAAGCATATTTAAATTGCCTTAGGGTTTCTATACAAAGTAATACAAGATAAGACCTGACCTTCTAAAACCAGGTCTTCTGTTTGGGTGCCTTTGCTTTGTTCAGCTTGATAACATAAGTCATATTTCGTTGCCTGTTAAAGCACATAGTATGATCCTTTCTGATAGCTCTTCTCTAGGTACATTATAATAAATTACATGTGATTGATTTAGACTTCTTGTCTGCTTGCTGGGCAGTCCTTTCAGCCTGGATTGGTGTAAACATACCTGGATATAGGGTTTATTGTAAGATAATTGCTATACATTTATTGATAGCAGAGCTCTGCAACACCTGTTGACAGATACACTGTGGGGAACGATTAGAATGCCAAAAAAGCAGGTAAGCACTAAGGACTTAGAGCCATTTTATATAGAGGCACACAGTATTTATGGATGGTAAACTTTGTGACTTCTTATTGGTAAAATTATGCTATCTATGGGCGTGTCCAGATGAGCACACACGTGCCTCTTGCCCTGTCTCAAACCCCTTTGAGGTGGGGCAAGAGACATGTGTAGAAATGAAAAACTGATCCCTGTGCTGCAAGTTTGCAGTGCGGGGAGAAAGTGAGACCCCTGGATATCCAGGGGTCAAACAGAAACCTGGGGGGAAAAAAACAGGTCAGGGCATGGTCCCAGAGATGCTCTGGCAGAGTGCCGGTGTCTCTGATTGGCCCTTTCCCCAGTCCTGAAGCATGCTGCCTGTCCATGAGGGACAGGCAGTGGTGCAAGCTGCAGGGACCTGACCCGGTTTTTGCCAGGTGAGTAGGGGGTTGGGGCGCTAGAGGAGAGGGGAAGGGGACCTTGGGAGGCTGGAGATAGCAAGGGAACGAGCAGGGGCTGGAGACAGCCCCAGAGGAATTCCCCTGCTGTCCCCTGCTCTCCTGAGGCTGGAGGCAGCAGGGGAATGTCTCTGTGGCTGTCTCCACCCCCCTGCTTCTTCCCCTACTTGTCTCCAGCCTCGGAGATACAGCAACTTGGTGATAAGATGCCCCTGGTTTTTGTATTGGCTTTAGATAGAAAAGGCAAAGAAAGGATCATTTCCCCTGTTTTAGACTCATAAAATCCTCGGGCTGGAAGGGACCTCAAGGGTCACCTAGTCCAACCACCTAAACAAATTCAGAATTTGCTCTTTCTAAGCCACCCTGGGCAGATCCCCATCCGCCTTTTTGAATGCCACCAGTGAAGGGGATTCCACATACTCCTAGGTGGCTTGTTCCATTCTCCTCCTGTTCTTACACTTACAAAATCCTTTTTCTGGTCCTGTCACCCTGGGCCCTCT